GCTGGTGGGGTGGGGGGGGGGGGGGGGCGGGGGGGGGGGCAGAGGGGTGAAAAGCACACAGCAGTAAATTGCCAACCACTTTTCCCTCTTCTGCAACACAACAGAGCTCATGGGGAAAAGAAGTGCTAAATTTGGGGTTGTTTTTCTGAACTAGAGATGAAAGACTTCCATTTTAGGGTCATCTCAACTACAATAACTGGAATACTATAAATATTAGACGCATTTGGCAACCTGACCACCACTGGTCTTGTCTGTAAAATGGAAACAGCAAAACCCACTTCCCAAACTATGCTACAAATATGGGGGAGTGGTCTGTGGAGAAAAGTATTTTACAAATGCAGAGTACTATTTTTACCTTCCTAGTCAAAGACATAGAACAGCTGCACTCTGGAAAAAAAAAAAAAAAAAAAAAAAAAATCGGTTTAAGCTCAAATACACCAGCCAAGAAATGTCTCGCCAGGAAACCACCAAGGCATTTAGCCTGTTGCTGACAGCTCATCCAAGGCGGAGCAATATCCCAAGACAATACGCCCTGCTTTGCTTAAAGAAAAAAAAAAAAAAAAGTTTTGCAGTCTTAAGAACAAACTGAGGTGCTTTTTTGTTTTCCTTTTTTTTTCTTTGTGCAACTGTATTTATAGAATTTTTTATAATTTAATATTCATCATTTTGTGCATCAACTGATGCACAAAAAATCTTTTGGTGGTCGTTGTTGTTATTGTTGTTATTTCTACACCCTGTGGTTAAAATAAAATAAAATAAAATAAAGTTTATAGTGTTAACTCCAAGGCTCCAATGGGTTTAAGAGGTACCTGCAGAGCGCCGCACGCGGAGCCGGGGCGGTGTTTGCCTACGAGAACACGTTCGCTCGGACCCCGGGTGTGTTTGGGGCTTTTAAAGGTTATCCCGCGGTTTATAGCGCTGCAGAGGATGGAGGCCCAGTGAGAGCCACGCACCGTCCCTGGCGCGGTGTCCGGCACCGCTGTCCCGGACGTGACCGGCCTTCGGCGAGTGCCCGGATCGCTTCCTACTCGCGGCTCCCGCCCTGGCAGGGGCACCGCCGAGGCCCTGCGGGGCGAGGGGGTGCCGGCCCGCCCCGAAGCCAGCACCATGCTGCGCCGGCCCGGCCCTCCTCCCTCAGCGCCGCTCCCTCAGCGCCGCGGCCCCGCCCCGTTGCGAGGGAAGCGGCGACGCCGGTTGCTACGAGGCCGGGCAGACGCGCGGAGCTGGCGGCGGTGCGGGCACGGCGCTGACCCGGGCGCTGCATGGAGCTCGGCGAGAAGGCCGGCGGGGCGGCGCGGGGGCAGCTCCTCGCCGGGGGCCCGCAGGACCGCGCGGGAGGGCGGCGGAGCGTCCCTGTGTATCCTTGCTGAGGCGGCCCCCGAGCGCCGGGGCCGGGCGCCCAAGGGGGGCCGGGGCTGCGTGCGGCCCGTGTGGGGCTGCGACGGGGCCCGGGCGGCGATGTCCCAGCCTCCGCCCTGCCCCGCGGGCAGAGACCGCCTCGGGGGTGTCTTCAAATTAAAGCTTGTACATTGAGGGGTTTAAACTGCCGTGGCTTCTCAAGCAACTTCGGAGTTTTCTTGTTTTCCCTCTTCTAGGAGATTATGCCACTGTGAATAGTGTTTTTCATCCTAACTTTTGGGTTCTTGTGGTTTTGAGTTTTAGTAGTAAGAACTACTGACACAAACTATTGAGATGCACCTGCACAGTTCTACTTAAATAATTACTGGTGTGATGCAGGACTGATCTGGCTCTGTGGAGGGCTTTTATTTAGTGATGATAATCAATTTCAATGTAAACAACTAATCCTTTAGGATGTGGGGATGTGTGGGGGGAGGGTGTTTACTATTTAACACTTTCCCTGTCATACCTGCATCCTTATGTTACAGGTTTAGATAACTACACAAAATGTCCCTTCAAAAGAACATAATGAAGGTGGGATTTTTCACCTGGCGGTATCATGAAGGATGAGTGCAAAGTCTCTTGTAAAATCCCTTTAAAAAGTAAAATGCAATTACATTTTTTTCTGGATGAGCATAAAGTTAGTTATGACAGTAAGATACAATTATGAACCTACTCTATATAAGGTCAATCACACAGGCTATTATATAATTTAATGAGCTGTTCCATCCAGTTTCTATTGTCCTTAACACCGTCTTAGGGATAGCGATTTCATATTTCATTTTGAACAGGATTTACAAGAAGAGCGTCGAACATTGAGAGAGCATCAAAAAATGCATCGGAGCAAGGCAATGAAATACTTGCTGGAGACAAACAGAAGAAGAAGGCAAGTAACTAGGGTTCCTTTAATGGAGGATTGTAAAAAAAAATAAAAGAGAGAAAAACAAAGCAAAAAGAGTCAAAACCTTAAGACAGTTCAATATATCTCTACTATTTTCCTGTTCACTTTGATAAGTGGCTCACTGCTTTGGCCTAGAGGAATCTAAGCTGAAAAGTTTCACCAATCCGGTTTCTTGCTATAGGATAAATAAAATATAAAAACAATATTCTGATTTACTTGCTAATTTTTGAAAACTCACTGTAGTTGCATCTCATATAAACGAAAGGTAAGTAGCACTTTCATCTTGTGGCTCTGATCTGCATTTCTAGTGTTCTGGGGTTTATTAGCTTCAATGGATGTATGAAAAATGCATTCAGCTGTACAGCGTGGGCCAGCAGAAGGCAGTTGTTGCCTTGAGAAGTGTGTGCTGTTCTGTCTGCATGGCCTAACAGCTGCACAGCCTCCCCTTCATGGCAAGGCTTTGCTCCCACTGCCCAATAAACACAAAGCAACATTTTTATTGTAGAGGATTATACTTATAATAAAGATATTTTATACTAACATTTTAAACAGAGCTTTGCATAGT